AGAAAAGCCGGGACAGCCTCTCTCTGTGGAGGGCAGGCCTCCCTCTCCCCCATGTCTGCCACACCCGGAAGTAGCTGTCTCTCTCCAGGTCCTGAGTGGGAGGAAGAGAGCCAGTCGATAAGGGGCAGAACTTATGTCATCAGCTCACAAAGCTGCCCTTGTCTCAGCCGGCTTCAAGGGATCTGCTCCTCGCTGAGCTTCCTGCGCCCTAGCGGGGAATCCCCTTGAGAAACACGGGCATGAAAGGGGAAATACAGAGCACCCCAAACTAGAACCTTAAACGGCTGAGCAACAAAAAGCAGCTTGTGAGGGAAACAATGTTATTCAGAAGGCTCCTGGGAAAGGGCCATCTCAAGGTATTGCAGCTGGGTAGCCCAAGCTGGTCCTAGGAAGAGCCCAAGGATGAAGGGATGGTTGTGAGCATGTGTGGATGATTTCAGGAGCCAGACTGCAGGCGGGAAGGGAGGAAGTGTAACTCCTAGTCTGTATCTTGTCCTGGAACCAGTTTTGCCCCTTACCACATGCATATATAAATTTGTCATTTAAGGGAAATAATTTATTTTGTCTTTATCTTATTTATTAGTATTGTGTGTGAGTATGGGTGCTTGTGTGGACTAGAAGACAACTTTTGGGAGTCAATTCTCTTATCAGGTAGGCTCTGGGGACCAAACTCAGGAGTCAGAGTGAGGTTACAAGCCCTTTAGCCATGTCGATGAGCTACCACACACCTGGTTTTTGAATGAGGGTTGCTCTCGTGTAACCCATGATGGTCTCAGAGTTGTTACTTAGCCAAGTGTGGCCTTGAACCCCTGATCGATTGATCCTCTTGCCTCCCTCTCGAAACTTCTTAGGTTAGAGGTGTGTGCCACCATCTTGTGGATTTCCACCAGTGGAGGTCAGGTTGGTAGCTCCTGCGCTGTGGCGGCTCAGAACCTTCCTGATGCTGTGGGGACGACCACTGGCATTCTCCTGATGGTGTGGAGAGGACCACTGGCATTCTCCTGATGGTGTGGGGAGGACCACTGACATTCTCCTGATGGTGTGGGGAGGACCACTGACATTCTCCTGATGGTGTGGGGAGGACCACTGACATTCTCCTGATGGTGTGGGGAGGACCACTGACATTCTCCTGATGGTGTGGGGAGGACCACTGACATTCTCCTGATGGTGTGGGGAGGACCACTGACATTCTCCTGATGCTGTGGGGAGGACCACTGGCATTCTCCTGATGGTGTGGGGAGGATCACTGACATTCTTCTGATGCTGTGGGGAGGACCACTGACATTCCCCTGCTAGGAAGGAACAACTCAGGCCCTGTTGTTAGGGACAGGTCTACGGCATGTACCTCCAAGTTAGGTCATTATGAGGACTTAAGTCACAGTTAAAATCATAGTCAGGCATGACTATGTCAGTTCACACCTATAACTCCAGCACGTGGGAGGCTGAGGCAGGAGGACTGCCCCAAATTTGAAACCAACTGGGCTACAGGAGACTGATCCTTTTTCCAAAGACAAAAATGGGGGCAGGGCTCACGTCTTTAATCCCAGCACTCAGGAGGCAGAGAGAGACAGATCCCTGAGTTCAAGACAGCCAGGCTACACAGAGAAACTCTGTCTTAAGGGAGGGAAAGGATCGTAAAAATACAGTAAATACAAACCTAATGACCTGGGTTAATTTCCAGGATTCACGTGGTGGGAGGAGAAAACTAACTTCTAAAAGTTGCCCCTTTGACCTACACACGCATAAGCATGAACACACACACACACGAATTGTAAAAAAAAAGGGGGGGGAGGGATTAAGATGATCAAAATATAGTATCTACATATATGAAGTGTCATAATGAAATTATTGTTTTACACAATAAATTGTAGGGGTGTGTGTTAGAGCTGTGGAGTTGCAAAGACACCCTAACTTAATCAGGAAGCCAGGCTATACTTAGTGCCGCAATAGGACAGCTCTGGAGGGGGAGCGGGCAATAGGACAACTCTAGAGGCTGGAGCTGCAGTAGGACAGCTCAGCCCTGGAGGGAAAGTGTCCTCACTTACAGGAAGCCAGGCTATCTGAAGCAGTTGGAGGTGGTTTCCCGGAAGGCTACAGCAATCCTGCTTTTCTGGAGAGTCTGCTATGGCTGAGCCCTGCTCTGTTCCCTTAAGTGAAAGTCTTGGAAGAGCTATCTGCTTCTTCTCTCCCCAAGATGTTACTTCTTTAACTAACACTCTGCTACAGGGGAAGCCCCTTCAGAAATGTAGCAATCTTCTTGGGCTCTGGCAAAAAAAAAAAAAAAAAAAAGTTACTTTTTCTGCTCAGCTTGGCTCAGCCCCTCTTAGGGAGCATCCCAGCAGGTTCTTCTGTTCTGCTCCGCCTTGCTCAGTCCACTGAGGTTCCTCCCAAGGACAGATAAATGGCAGCCTCTAACTGAACAGGGAGAGAGGCTTACTAGAACTTCTTAGAGGTGATGCTTTCCCAGGGAGAAGAGGGGTTGGTTAGTTTTCCCTGCTCAGGGATTGGTTAATTTAGTTGGTCAGGGCGGAGACGGCTCTGATTTCATGGCCAAACTGTGCTTTTTTTTTTTTTATGGTCCTTTTTAGCCTTTTGATTCTAATCTTAGGACCAGGGCATATTTTTTTTTATTTTTTCACTGGTTCTGATTCTAGGGACAAAGTGTGTTTCTTTTGGCACTGGTTTCAGAGTCGGGGCATGTTTCTCTAGTTCTGGGTTCAGGGATAAAGATATTTCTTTCCCTGGCTCAGGTCTCAAATCCAGGGTGTATTTCTCTCACTGGCTCTGGGTTCAAAGTCAGGGTGCTCAGTGATTGGTTGGTTTCCTGCTCCAGTTGTCCCTTTTACCCTACATAAATGCTAATCATTTTCTTTTAAAGTTATTATTATTATTAGTTTTGCAAGACAGGGTTTTTCTGTGTAGCCCTGGCTGTCCTGGAACTTGCTTTGTAGACCAGACTGGCCTGGGACTCACAGAGATCTGCCTGCCTCTGCCCCCCATGTACTGGGATTAAAAGGTGGCTAATCAATTCTTATTTTAAAAGTTAATTCATTGAAAACCACTTCAGAATGTGAGACACAAAACACAGGCTGGTGTAGCCTCTTGGAAAGCCAAACACAGCCTCTTTTAAGCTCCAAAGTTCTGTCAGCGGCCACACCCTGAGCCTGCCCTGGGGAAGTGTAAGTCCCTCACGCAGGCCGTGTTGGGACCTAACAAAGGTCACATATTCCTGATGGTCAAAGTGGTCAAAGGTGAGAGGCAGAGTGGGGCAAAGGTCAAACCTAGGCAGGAAGTCTAATAGCCAAGGAAAGAGAAATGGGGTCAGCGTCCCCTCATCCCAGCAGGAAGAGCCATGGGGGAGAGCGGAGCCTGGACCTGAGTCTGCAGCCCAGCCACAGGGAATGAGGCTTGAGCCCCCAGTCGGTGGTGGACGATGGAGGGTGTGTGGGGTTGGCTCTTGGAGCTGGAGGTGATTATGCCAAGTACACGTACACAGGACACCTCCTTTTCTACTCTGGTGAAAATGCTGCCCTGCTGTGAGCTTCTGCCTGTGTTCTGCTGGCTTTCCCAGAACACCTCTGAGTCTCTGAGTCATTCAACCCAACCACAGGGTTTTAGATCAAACCCTGTCCCTGAGTCTTAGAGACTCAAAAATGCAAAATCATTTTACTGTCAACCAAAAGAGAACCAGCATTCTTTTTTTTTTTTTTTTTGGCTATTCAGATCAAGCTTATTTGACTGCTCTGCCTCCAATTCCAGATCCTCCTGCATTAACATCCCCAATTCTGGGACCACAGGCACCAGTGTCTACCAGAAGAGAGTAGCCAAGCTGGGTAAGGAGGTATCCGCACTCTCAGAACTCAGAAGGTAGAAGCCAGAGGACTGGGAATTCAAGGTCATTCTCAATTATACTGTATAGGGGGTTCAAGATTAGCCTAGTCCACTTGAGACTCTGCCTCAGAACAACAACTCAACCAAATAAACAAAAACACAAACAACAACAACAACAACAACACACACACACACACACACACACACACACGAGGGCTAGAGAGCTGTAAAGAGCACTTGCGGCTCAATGATGAGGACCAGGGTTCGGATCCCACAGCCCTGTAAACAAGCCGGACAACTCCTCTAATTTACAAGGCACATACACATAAAGGACTGCAGCAGTTAGATGGGAGAGGTACCAGCTCCCAAATCACGACATAGAGGCTTATTAGTTTTGAACGCTCGGCCTTGCTTAGACACGTTCCTAGCTAGCTCTTTTTAACTTAAATTAACCCTTTTTTCTTTATCTATTTTGCCTCAGGGCTTATTCCCTTTCTTACTTATTACCTTATCTTACTCTCACTGCTTCTCTCTGTCCTGCTGTCCTCTTCCTGGCTTCTTGTCCCTGGCATGTACTTCATTTTCTCCTCCTTCTGGTCTTGTTCTTTCTGTTGTGAGCCTAGATTTCTTCTCCTATTTATTCTCTCTGCCCGCCAGTCCCATCTGCTCTGCCGAGCTATGGACTGTTCAGCGTTTTATTACACCCATCAGGTGCCTTGGGCAGGCAAGGCGAAACAGATGCAACACATCTTTTCATAACTAAACAATTGCAGCATAAACAAAAGCAACACATTTACACTCACTCTCCAGCATAAACAAATGTAACACATCTTTGCCTAATTAAATAATATTCTACAACAGGGAGGGGAATTTATGTGTCCACAAGTTATCTGCCTGGGACACCTGGACGAGCCTCTGGACTAGCCACCGCCAGCACGACCCCGGCCGCTGGCCTCAGGCTCTGGGCGCCACAGCCACTGTGGCTCCCGGCAGGCACGCTGTGGCTCGCTGCCCTTGCCGCCTGCGGCAGGCAATGCAGGTGACCTGGGGTAGCCGCGGACCCTGCACCTGGGAGGCCAGGATCTGGAGAGAGCTGTCTGGTTTCCCGCACCTGCCGCAGCCGGGTGGAGCGCCACCCATGACAGGACCCGCCCCGGGCCCGCCCTCCCAGCCTCCCGGTGTGGAAACCGGCAAACTGCTCGGCGACGGCGGCTCGGCCTCAGCGCGATAGGTAAGCAGCAGTGGGGCGCTCGACCCCGCGGTGCCCTTGGACCTCGCAGCCCTGAGCTTCTCGGGGACTCGCTCCACTCGCGCTTGCTCTGAGTCCCGGCTTCCTACTACCCGCCCCACTCCTCTCCGACCCGCAGTCAAATGAAGGGGCCGAGCCAGACACCTCCTCTGGTGCGGTGCCAACCATCGCCTCCCTTGGGGAGACCCCCTCCACCTTTGCGGTCCAGAAACGGGGGGGGGGGGAGTTAAGCGGGGAGCTCCTACTCCCTCTTCCCCTCTCGCACGCCCGGGCGCCTACTGTTCGCTTCCCCAGATTGCGATCACCTCACGTGCTCAAGCGCGGGAAGACCTTCAGAGAGGGTCCTTCCTGCCCTGTCACCTTTGCGCAGAAGGGACAAACCAGGGGAAGCCTTGTTGGTGGGGGCCGCTCGGAGCCCTTGCCTGCTTGATTCCCCCCTTGGCACTTTTGAGGGGTAGAGAGCCAGTTCTGTGGTCTGGTATAGGGACTGTATGACTTACTGTCACCAACTTCCTGATTCTCTTCCTCACTTGTTCCATACCTCATGAAGACTACAGGGAGAACCCTCCTGTTACTTGCCCAAGGGCCAGTCATCCCAGACTCCAGACCACTGCCTCTGTGGACACTGCTGATGATAACTTGCCCACAAAGCTCAAAAAGGAAGCCCTGTCTTAAGCAGGAACTCACTGCAGTGGTCTCAGGGAGAGCTTTAAGGATTGCACTCTGAGCTCATCCCCAGACCCACAAAGGCAGGCACTGGCTGACGTTAATGACTCTAGACACACTAAAGAACCTCCAGGGCTATGTTCACTTAACCACAGATGTGCCTGCATTCCACAGGCCCTCCTCTCCGCCCGACAGGAGAGTCTTCCCTGTCATCAGGAAGGCTAAGAAGGATGAGCTGGGCAAATTCATGTGATGACTGCATCAGGGTTCTGAAATCTACTTCATTCAAATTGTCCAAGAGTCTGCGTCAGCACAGGCATTCCCCGGCGATGCCACGTGCTTCAGGAACCTAGCGGTGACTGGAGAGAGCTGCTTCGGGGTTACCAGGACCAAAGAGCACGACAGGACAGTCAAAAGGAAGTATAGAGCAAGTGAAACCGAGGGAAACTGGCTGCTGGGTAATCACTGCCCACAGCTGGTGCTGCCTCCAGCACCCGGAAGAGTCCAGGAAAGGGAGGCCCCGTGGGTGTCAGGAGATCATAACTATCTTAGCCCAAGTTCAACTGGGAGAAACCCAGACACGGATGCGATCATAGGTTGAGTTCTTGTAGCCACTGTCCGAAACAGAAGTCAGGCTAGGGAGGGGCAGCGCCTTGCTCACCTGAGGCTCACAGAGGGAGGTAGTGGTGGATAATGAAGGCTGCCAGTGGCTGACTCAGCGCTCGCTCCCACTAAGGTAGCTGTTTAACCTTGGCCACATCATGTAAACTCTCGGGGTAAGGAGTAAATGAGGAGATGCCTGTGGAAGTGAGTGCTAGAGCTGTAGGGACCAACCAGACATAAGATGTGTCATAGCTCTGAACAGACATGAGCCTTGGTGTGAATCTGCTTTTTCCTAGCTGTGTGCCCACAGTCAAGCTAGTCACTCTGTGCTTCACTTTACTTCCAGGTAAAACAGAAGGTCAGAGGTGGGCATGTAGCTCAGTTGGCAGAGTGTTTGCCCAGTGCGCATAAGACTGTGGGTCCAGTCTCTAGCATCACAAACACTGGGCATGATGGTGCACGCCTGGAACCTAAGCACTGGGGAAGAAGGAAAATCGGAAGTGCAAGGTCATCCTTGGCTAGGTAATGAGTTTGAGGCCAGCCTGGACTACCTGAGACTCTGTCTCAAAGCAAAAACAAAAACCAAGACCAAACAAAACAAAAAACATAACTTATGTGAGGTTTTTGTTTATTTTTTCTTTATTTTTGTTTTTTCAGATGGGGTCTCTACATAGACCTGACTGAGCTGGAACTCACTATGTAGACCAGGCTGGCCTCAGACTCATAGAGATCCATCTTCTTCTGTCCCTGCCCTTCCCCCCCCCCCCCAGTGCTGAGATTAAAGGCATGCACCACCACTGTATTCTCAGCTTCTCAGGAGGATGCGGCAGAAGGGTTGCTTGAGCCCAGGAGCCAGGCTGAAGCCGAGCCTGAGTGACAGGGAGGTGATCATAGGCGTGTCCTTGTGGCCAATATCTTTGTTGCTTGAAAAAGCAAGTGAAAGATAGTGATAGCATTGCCCTAAACATCCCCTGGGGCTGATGGACGTAATCCAGTGTCCCCAGTTCTGGAAGTGAAGCCGAGTACCACAGTGGGTGTTTGGCTGTGCCAGAGTTCGAGTGAACTTGGCTCTTCATATACCCTCAGTCTTTCTTCTGGAAAAGCCCAAAATGCCCGTTTCTGGTCGATGGGATGAGAGCGAGCGTTTCAGTACGCAAGAGGTCAAGTGCAGGGCAGTGCCTGTCTCAGTGAGGATCTCAATGCTGTAATTGTGCCTTGTGTGGTAAACAAGGATGGGTTCAGCCCAGGGAGAAAAGAGCTTTGAGAATGAGTCCCCTGGCACCTGAGAGCCCTGTGGGGTCCAGTTACTCTCCAGTACCCGGCCGAGCCCCGCCTGAGTCCTAGGGAGAGATGTGAGCAAGAGACCCCTTCTGACCACAGCTCTGCATCTAATGGCAAACAAAACACAGATAGGGAAGGAAGTTACTACACACACACACACACACACACACACACACACACACGTGTGCATGCACATATACATACACATACTCCCCTGCACGCATGTACACTCACACACATGCACACAGATGAGCATACACACATGCACACACACATGCACACACACACACACACATACACACATACACATACTCCCCTGCACACATATACACTCACACACATGCACACAGATGAGCATACACACATGCACACACACATGCACACACACATGCACACACACACACATACACATACTCCCCTGCACACATATACACTCACACACATGCACACAGATGAGCATACACACATGCACACACACATGCACACACACATACATACACATACTCCCCTGCACACATGTACACTCACACACATGCACACAGATGAGCATACACACATGCACACACACACATGCACACACACATACATACACATACTCCCCTGCACGCATGTACACTCACACACATGCACACAGATGAGCATACACACATGCACACACACACATGCACACACACATACATACACATACTCCCCTGCACGCATGTACACTCACACACATGCACACAGATGAGCATACACACATGCACACACACATGCACACACACATACATACACATACTCCCCTGCACACATGTACACTCACACACATGCACACAGATGAGCATACACACATGCACACACACACATGCACACACACATACATACACATACTCCCCTGCATGCATGTACACTCACACACATGCACACAGATGAGCATACACATGCACACACATATATACACACACTCCTGATCACACACACACCTCAGTGCGGAGGGATGGATACCTGGCCAAGCTGTCAGAATAAGAAGCTTGAGAAGCAGGGTTTAAGGGTACAGAAAGCAAACAGGACGAAGTTGTCTGGATGTGTTGTTCACTTTCCTCCATGAATCTAGTGGGAAAGTCCCACGTGAAAAAAGCAGGGCAAGTGAGGAGTGAGTGACTCTGGGGACAAAGATGCACACTCAACTCCTGAGGGCAGGGACACACCTAGGAAACCTTGCTTTCTTTTCTTCTTTGAGAGTTGGGTTTCACGTAGCCTAGGATTGCCTCAACTTCTCCATGTAAATGGAAGTGACCTTGAACTCATTTTGATTTGATTTTATCTTGTGTGTGTGAATGCCTTTCTTGCCTACATTCATGTAAGTGTACCATGCGCATGCCTGGTGTCCATGGAAGGCAGAAGAGGGCAGTGGGTCTCATGGGCTGGGGTCACAGGTGGTTGTGAGGCACTAAGTCCCTGCAAGAGCAGCCATGCTCTTAAGCACTGGGCCATCTCTCTAGTCCCTGACCTTGAACTCCTGGTTCTCCTTAAAGATTGAAAACACAGGTTTGGGCTACCACATCCTACTAGGAAGAGCTCATTTTATTTGTTTTTAATTTAATTATGTATGTGTGCCAGAGAGGAGTTGGGTTCACTGGAGCTAGAGTTGCAGGCAGTTGTGAACCATCAGACGCGAATGCCAGGAACTGAACTTAGGCCCTCTGGGGGAGCAGTGAGCTGTCTTAGCTGCTGAGCCACCTTAGGAAGGGAAAGAGAGCCACACCAAGCATCTGGTTAGCCTGGAAGGTAAATAAATGCAGATGGCAAGCTGACTGCTGGATGAATCTGCCCCGGTTAAACAGCTGTAATCTAAAGAAATGTGGCCAGGGCTTTGCTGATCACGAAGCAAAGGAGTCAGGCAGGTACTACATCTCATCCTCCAGGGCGAGGACAGTTTTTGACGACAGTTTTGGGTGGAGAGGAAGGGCACCCAGAAAGCAGGACATAACCAGCAAGGGCTTGGTTACCTTGGTACCTTGAAGGGATTGAACATCACAGATCTTGGTGTGAACCAGGAATTAGGGGTGCTTCTGGAAGCACTGGGGAACTGCTCAAGTCAGCGGGCTGCTTGCAGGCCTGAGGGCGGTGACAGGTGGAAATTTCCAGCAGGACTCCTGCGATCAGGAGCAGACTGCCCCAAGAGAAGAGAGGGTCGAACTTCAGCTCCCCAACTTCTAGCCCCAGCACTTAGAACCATCTGTCCCGTGACCCCCACCTTGTCTCCTCCTATCCACCACCAGCCAACAGATGGCAAAATTCAGTTCAAACCCTAGGAGGTTAGAGAGGCCCAGCTCCCCCACCCGAGACCCTGGGGATGAAGCCCGAGAGCTGCTGAGCTTCCTGTTTAGTTGCCTGCTGTTCTGATTTCCAGTGGGTTATGCTTGGGGTAAGACGACAAAGGTGTACCAAACGCTTTTATGCCAAACACTGATCCTGTTACACAGTGGTGAGAAACTGGTTGTTTTTTCAGTGGAAAATCTGTTTGGATAAGTTCAGTTCAACATTTTCTGTAAACCCAGAATGAACCAAGACGTGCTAGCCGCAGAAATAACTCAGCACACTGCTCTGGGAGAGCGAGCCCAGCACATTACTGTAGTGCTGGTCTTCAGGAAGAGCCAGAGTGTCCGTGAAGGTGTAACTCAGGGACAGGGGGTGGAAACGTCCCACTGTCCTGGGACCAGAGACATCTGAGAGGGAAGGAAGTCCCTAGAGACCATCGGGTCATCTTCTCATAGTGTGACTGCAGGGGAGGTAAGGCCACTGGGCTTGGTGAAGAGAGCATGTCATCGTGGATGAAGGGACAACCATTTGGCTTTACAACCTTGGAGTGCCCTTCCCCCTCCAGGATCTTGAAACCAACCTGTTCCGTGAGGTCCACCTGCCTACACCAACGCCTTGGTGAGCCAATTAACTTGAGCAAATATCCTGTGGGGATGGTGTGACAGCTCTCTTCCTGCAGGCCACAGAAGGCCACGTCTCTCACCTCCTGGAGGTGTGCGGTTCATTTGCATATACAGGAAGAAACATCATTACGAAGAGGCCACCTGGCTATGGTCTGGGTGGCTGACCCTGCCTTTCATGAGAGCCAAGACCTCACTTGGTACTTCCTAGTTTTGACATCTTTAAGCATGGAATCCCTGAGTGGGAGTTGGAGAGAAGGGAAATGCAGTAAGGGGGTTTAGGAGTGGAGGAGAGGGGCAGAAGAGCCCAGGCCCTGTAGCACCGCCATCGGGAAGGTGAGAGAGGCAGGAGCATAGCAGAGCTCTGAGAACCCAACCCAGGACCTGCTCCTGGGAGCTTCTAGCTGTGTGTCTGGAGTCCAGTGGAAGTAGGCTCACCAACACAAGGCTGCTGCATACCCAGATGGCAAGCTGCTTGTGGCAGCAGAAGGCCACCTAACTCAAACACTCATTCCATCAATAACAGGCTGGGTCACCTACTCATTCAGACTTCGCAAGTGACAGATGGTAGAAATGGCGTGGCCCTCAAAGTCCAGGAGTCCAGGTCTCTAGCAGGGCATAGAGCCACAGTTGACATGGGCAGATTTGTGTCATGATGACAATGAAGAAAGGGGAAATCAGGAGGCCAGAGCTGGAGGTGTGGTTCAGTGGGAAAAGCCCTTGCCTTGCCCTGGCTTAGATCCTCAGCACTGGGGGCGGGAGGAGAAAGAGAGGAAGACAAAGACAGGTAGATAATGGGGACAGATTAACTCTTTAGTTAATGTGAATCTTGTATAACTGATTTTTCATATTACTTTACTGAAGATGGCAGAAGATCAGAGGAGACTCTCCTGGAAGAGGGTTGTGTCCCTGAGTTTTAAATGTGTGGCTACAAAGAAGGCATTTTCCTAGACCTGGACTCATATCAGTGTGGCAGGAGAGCTCAAAAGTCTCCCAGCAGCTTCCACACACGATGGCATCACAAGTGTAAAGTATGTGCCGTAGCGAAAACTACCTGAAAATGTGATTGTTTAACTGCTTACTTCATTGAGAAGTATACATTTTGAAGAACACATTTTAGTTCTTATTTTATTCCATTGCATTGCCCTTTTGAGACAGGTCCTCACGTGACCCAGGCTGCCTACAAACTCTGTGTAGCCATGTGACTTGAACTTCTGAGCCTCCTGCTGTTGCCTCCTGAGTGTTGAGATTACAGATGTCTCAAGTTTATACAGTGCTGGGGTTGAAGATGAGGGCCTCGCGTGGCTAGACAGGCTCTTGACCCACTGAGGTCCATCCCCCAGCCCAAGTTCTGATTTTATATCAAGTAATGTTTGTCACCTTCAGTAAGATAAAGTGTTAAATTTTAATTATTCAGAATTCATAAACTAAAAGCAAAAATAAAGTTTTCCAAAGATCCTTGTTGAATCTGTAGCCTTTACACCTCTGAAGTTACTAAAGCTAAGAGCTGTTCTGAGACGTTGATCCATGCTGTAGTTATAGGTAATAACGGAGAGGAAAATATAATAAAACCATGCGATGCAGTTTTGGGTTTTGTTGTTGTTTGTTTTTGTAGCGCTAGAGACAGCACGTGCCGGGCAAGCACTCTACCATTGAGCTACGTCCCCAGCCCAACTTGGTTTCTCCTCTTCTCTTTTTAGCAGTCGCTCACTGTATAGCCCTGGCCTGGAACTTGCTATGTAGCCCAGGATGCTCTTAAATTTTTAGACATCCACCTGCTCTGCCTCCTGAGTGCTGGGACAAAAGATACACTGCCACTATAGCTGTCTTTTTGCATTCTGGTCTTTTTTTAAATTAATTTTTATTTTATGTGTTCGACTATTTTGCCTGCATGTATGTGTTTTGCATGCATGTCTGCTGCCCTTAAAGACCAGAAGAGAGTTCTGGATCCACTGGAACTGGAGTTCTGAGCACTTGTGAGCCCTCATGTGGGTGCTGGGAACAGAGCCAGTGTCCTCTGCAAGAGCAGCAAGTGCTCTTAATTGCTGGGCCATCTCTCCAGCCCCTTCTAATGTCCCTCCTGCCATATGCTGGCTATTTAAAGACTTTTTTTGCAGTGACCGATTGGAATCAGTATTGGGGTAGCCTGGGCTCTGCTCTCTAGAGCAGCAAGGGAGTGAGTGTGTGCTCTATCTAGAGGAGCCCATCCCCCATGTCTTCCTCAACTAGGACTTGGGGTATCTTGGCTCTGACAGTCTGATGAGCAGTCCCAAGGGAGGGAGAGACCTGGGAGTGGACTCTCCCTGGCAGCCACAGGCTGTGAGCACGGTAGGGAGGGGCATAGGTCCTGCAGAGCCCTGAACTCAACCAGCTACTACATTAGGGGTTATTCCTTTCCAGGGCTCAAGGGCACAACCTCCTGGCCCTTGTTTGCCATGATTCTAGGACTGCGTCTGCATGGAGCAGGAACCCTCGACCCCGAAGCCCTATGGCATCCATGAAATTGATATTTCTCCTGGACTATCTTCCTGCTGCTGGCATGCTGAGCTGACAGTGAGAACAAGTCCTTTCCTGCCAAGTCTAATCACAGGTGTCTCGTTTCATTTCAGGATGTGGTTAGAACCCTGAGGAACTGCAGGTTCCAGAGAGAGCGCTTTAGACGGTCGGACTGGATCCAGAGAGCAGATGTTCCAGAGGAGTTCATTTTAACCCAAGGTCTGTTTCCCCAGGGAAGAGAAAAGGAGTAAAGGTATCCACCTCTTCAAAGTACCACACTCAGCGCCTGGATGAGGGTGCTGGAGTGACGGGTAACTCCAGGAGGCCTTCCTGGAGGAGGTGAGTCCTGGCCTGGCTCTAGCTAGTTACTGCAGTGTTACCATGCCCATGTGTCCAGCTGTGCCCACTCTCATGCTGGAGTGGGAAGTAATCAGAAAACTGTCCTGAGTGCAGGCTACACGGTGGCTCAACAGACCTAGCCCAGGCTACAGAGCTCAGTCTACTCTCGATAGTCTCTAGACTAAGGTCTGCAGCTCAAGCAGAGCCCCTGGAGCTAGCCCTCAGGGTAGCTCAGGCACTGGGAAAGAGCCTCCACACACAATCCTGCTCCTTTCCTTGAAAACTCTGTGAGACCTGGAGGGAACCCTGCCTTTCTCAGCTGTCTGTGCTGTTCGCTACCTTTTACTTTCAATAGCTTGAATAGGTAGTACCGTGCGGCTCACAGTACGGTGTGGGCTCGCAGTACGGTGTGGACTCGCAGTACGGTGTGGCTCGCAGTGCAGTACAGTGTGGCTCACAGTAGGCTGTGGCTCGGAGTTCGGTGTGGCTCGCAGTACAGTGTGGCTCGCAGTGCAGTACGATGTGGCTCGCAGTGCAGTACGATGTGGCTCGCAGTACGGTGTGGCTCGCAGTACGGTGTGGCTCGCAGTACGGTGTGGCTCGCAGTACGGTGTGGCTCGCAGTGCAGTACGGTGTGGCTCGCAGTGCAGTACGGTGTGGGCTCACAATGCAGTACGGTGGGGCTCGCAGTACCAGATGCCATTCAGCACTCGCTCCTCCCTGGCCTGACCTGTAGAATCACCTCTTCCACTTAATTTTGTTTAATTTTGCTTCTATTTTATGCATATTTCGCCTGAGTGTATGTCTGTGTAGCACAGACATCTGGGTGACTGTGAAGCCAGAAGAGAGCACCAGCTCTCCCAGAACAGGAGTTACAGCAGTCATGAGGTGTCATGTGGGTGCCGGGAGTTGAACCTGGGTCCCTAGAGCACCCAGTGTTCTCAGCTGCTGAGTGTTTTCCCAGGACTGCCCCACTTCCTGGGACCTTCACAACCCTTGGGGAGAAGCGTTGAGCCTCACACCCGACTGTCTACCTTTGTGTCCTACCCTAAGACCCAAAAGAGTTTTGCTGGTGCCACTTCTGCCACTGGCAGGGCTGCTCCCTGGGTCCAATCTCCCGGTCCCTCTTACCTGGTCACCCAGCTGCTGAGCAGCTGCTGCTCACATCATCAGCCACCAGCTGTCCTATTCCCCTTCCTAGAATCCTTCCTGGAAAACTGCTCCCCGTTTCTCAAGGGCAAACAGCATGAGGGCTTCACCCCAGCCAGCTTTTGCGCTTCTCTGAGCTCCCACTCCCCACGTCCTGGGTTGCTCACTAGTTGGCCGTTCCAGCTCAGCCTTCGATAATGCTCTTCACTTGAAGCATGCTAAACTTGTGCAGACAACTAAGGTGAACTCGGTGCTTAGAAAATGACACGAACTCGGCCGAAGGTTTTGCATACATCACCTAACCTAATCCTCAGCACCGCCCGAGTTGGGTGTTGGCAACTCCTAGTCTATAGATGACGAAATCAAGGCTTAGAGGGATAAAGTAAATCTCCCAAGGGTCACCTTTGGCTACTAGCTGAGACTATTTTTTGAAAACTGACTGTGCACACTGATAAGAGGGCCACACTTCTGAGAAACCCTGTACCAGCTATAGAGGCGGCTCCTCTAAAGGGGGCCTGAGCCTGAGGTCGCATCTCTTGACACCAGCATCCATCAGCTGGAGACTTTATACTAGCTTAGCTCCCGTAGAAAACTCTTCATATTCATCCTCTGACTGGGGTGCTGCCTGGCCAACCCCCTCCCTTCTCACTCCACCCTCTTGCCCCTCAATCCCCCTCCCTCCTCACTCCACCCTCTTACCCCTCAATCCCCCTCCCTCCTCCCTCCACTCTCTTACCCCTCAATCGCTCCCCATGCCTAGTACTACATGGAAGGTGTTATAGAATTTTAGATTAAAAGCAGCAGCAACAACAATTTCATCTGAAATTAGCAACATGTGCTCATAATCTCAGCTTGTGGGAGCTGAGGCAGGAGATCAAGGGTTTTAGGCCAACAAGTTACATAGTAAAATCCTATCAAAAAATAAAATAATTGCCAGACAGTGGTGGAGCATACCTTTAATCTCAGCACTGGGGAGGAAGAGGCCGGTAGATCTCTCTCTGGGTTCGAGACCAGCCTGGTCTACAGAGTGAGTTCCAGGACAGTCAAAGCTATACAGAGAAACCCTGTTTCAAAAAACCAAAAAGCATATACATACATACACACACATACATACATACGTACATTCATACACACACATGCATACATACTTACATTCATACACACATATACATACATACATACATACATGTTCTAAGTGAGTAAATACAGAAGAAACCACTTGGCCCTCGGGCAACAGGAGTTTGAGCTCCATGGGCCCACCCATATGTACATTTTGAGGGGCAAGGAATTTTTGACAATCTGAAAAATTAACAAGTGAATGTAGAAATGTATTTTAATAGATATATCATGAATACATAAAATATATGTCGATAATGATGTATCTGACACAAAAGATATACAAACCTATTGTGTGTGCATGTTTTTAATTGTCTCTCACAGTCCAGGCTGACCTTGAACTTACTAGGTAGCTGAGTATAATCTTGAACTTCTGATCCTCCTGCCTCCACCTTCTGGGTGTTAGGAGGACGTGTATGCATCACACTCTGTCAACTAAGCTCCGCCCCTGCCACACAAATCTATGATTGTGAGAAGGTGGGCACACAAGCACGCCGTGTCCGTGTGCGAGAGGAGAGCAGCGCTGCAGAACTGAAGATGACCGTGTGATCAGTCCCAGCTGGAAGCGGGCGCAGCTCTGTGAAGAGTGCGTTTAGACACGTGAGGCCTCAGCGTGACTGAAAAAGTCGTAATTGCATAGAATGAACTGCAGGATTATAGCACTGAAATCTATATGCCCTACCATGTGACAACCTCATTGCTTCCTCTCCTGTGCCCCTGTGGTGCTCAAGTGTTGGGAGTAGCTGCTTAAAATTGTCTCCATCTGAGCTGGTCATCCTTCCAGGAAATCTCACATGATACACAGAAATCTTTCACAGCTGGTGTGGACTGGCCACCATACAGAGTATACATGTCGTCTTTCATAGTTGGTGTGTGTTGGCCACCATACAGAGTATACATTTGTATTAATTGATTACTATTGCTATTAGTAAGGCTTCCTTCCAGTCAATAGCCACTGATGATAGTTTTAGGGGAGTCGAAAGTTACGTTTTCAACTGAATAGAAAGTTGACACCCTTAGCCCCTGCATTGTTTCGGGGTCAACTATATTTACAAAATACGTGTCAGACATAAAGACTAAGAGTAGGCGAGGTGTGGCGGTGCATGCCTTTAATCCTAGCACTCATGAGGTAGAGGCAGGCGGATCTCTGTGAGTCTGAGGCCAGACTGGTCTATAGAGTGAGTTTGAGGACAGCCTTGTCTACACTAGCAACCCTATCTCAAAAGAAAGAGAAAGGGATGCTGGGTAGTAGTAGCACATGGGTTTAATCCCAGCACTCAGGAGGCAGAGGCAGGCGGATCTCTGTGAGTCTAAGGCTAGCTAGCCTGGTCTACAGAGTGAGTTCCAAGACAGGGCTGTTAAACAGAGCAACCGTGTCTGTGACTTGTGGGAAAAAGAAAGAAAGAAAGAAAGAAAGAAAGAAAGGGGAGGTAAGATACTGCCCACATCAACATCCGCCTCCAGAAAGAAGAACGCATTTTCTAACTTTCTAGTCCTCATCTGTTTATCTCTAATCGGTATTTCTTTGTACCTCTTTTTCTTTTTCCCCTACCCCCAATAGCCCTGGCTGTCCTGGAACTCACTGTGTAGACCAGCCTGGCCTTGAACTGACAAATATCTGCCTGCCTCTGCCTCCCTAAAGGCATGATCCACCAAGCCCAACTCCTTCATACATTTTTGTCTTTCTTCAGAAACGCTGGCTTTCTTGTTATTAGCCTCTTTATAGCTTTACCGCATATTTATACGCACAGCACCATCTCTAACATGGGCGTATTTTATAGTTTTCAGTTAAGGGAAACACTATCTCTCTGCAGCTTGCCTTTTTACCCCACTGCTCTGGAGCGCTTCAGAGAGGTGGCTCGTTCCTTCCGCGGCTGCAGAGAGCTTCGCAGAGTGGTAGTCTCACACTTCACCGTTCAACAGCTGATTATTCATTGCTGCCGCTTTTGCTCAGTGATGCCACAGACATTCTTGTCCAGGCCTCCAGGGTCACACAAACCAGTTTATCTGACGTGCAAAGTGGGCCAGACGGTGGTCCATGCCTATCTTCCCAGTTCACAGGAGGCTGTGGATCAGGAGTTGAAGGCCAGCCTGGGCTAATTAGCAAACCCTGTCTCAAAAATCCAAACAGCTTGGAATGAGAGTACAGGGGGTTCATGGAGTTGCTGCCCGTCCTATCCTCCAAGTCAAGGCACCAACAAATGTGTTCCAGCTAAGCTTTATTTTAGTGACAAAGTGTTTCCCAAAGTAGTTTCCTCCCAGCAGGAAAGACCGGGACCCAGTTTTCTCATTTATAGCAAAAGGAAATTTAGATGCCAGGATACTGTGGCCTTGCGCGAAGGCACACTCACCTCAGAGTCCCCAGCCCTCCCCATCTCTGCAGTGGCTCATCTCTCTCATATGCCCTCTTTTCTCAGGCTGAGGCCCCAGGCGTGGCCACCCTGGCATAGCAAGCTATTTCCAAAGTGACGTCCAAGACTTGGTACTGACCCTGCTTGGGTCCTGGTCGGGAAGATGAGGCTCCTCCGCAGACGCCACATGCCCCTGCGCCTAGCCATGCTCGGCAGCGCCCTCATGTTCTTCCTCTTCATCCGGCAAAAGGAAGTAAGCAAACGGGAGCAGCAGGCCACGGAGAAACCTTGGCTGAAGTCCCTGGTAGGCCAGAAGGACCATGTGCTGGACCTCATGCTAGGTGCTGTAAACAACATCAGAGATGCCATGCCCAAGCTGCAGATCAGGGCTCCGGACCCCCAGCAGACTCAGCTCTCCACAAACCACTCCTGCCTTCCTGGGTTCTATACCCCTGCTGAGCTGAAGCCCTTCTGGGAACGGCCACCTCAGGACCCTAGCAGCCCCGGGGCTGATGGAAAACCATTTCAGAAGAAAGAATGGACCCCTCTAGAGACCCAGGAAAAGGAAAAGGGCTATAAGAAACACTGCTTCAATGCCTTTGCCAGTGACCGCATCTCCTTGCAGAGGTCCCTGGGGCCAGACACCCGACCTCCTGAGTAAGTAGTGTCCAGAACTCTCAGAGGAGACCAGAGCTTTCCCAGAAATGTGGCCAGGAGTTGTCAGAACGCAAGCCAAAGGGAATTTGAGAACAGGCAGGGATTTCCTCTTCCCTTTTGCTGGCCAATTGCCCTGATCGCAGGGGCTGGAGCTCAGGAGTTCTATGGTCAGGCAGGGGCCATAGGGACCTGTGAGCTGAAACACAGCTGTGGAGGGAACAGGATGTAGAAGAAGAACCCAAAGCTGCTGGCCAGGACCTGGCACAGGGAACTGGGAGGGGCTGGGACAGAGCTGTGGCTTCTGCAGCCCTCAAGATGCTGAACCTGCTACTGCCATCTGGGCCTCTGGTACTAGTTTGAGAGAGGGGACGTACCCTGACTGCTGCTGTGGTAGTCCAGAAGGTCCCCACACCACCCTCTTGGTTCCCTCTAGTGAAGGCCACAGGTCCGTAAGTCATTCCAACTTGAAGCCACTTATGCTCTTGATATTGGGAAGACCCACACTTGGATCTTAGAACCACCCTCCCCTCTAATGTGTATCGTTCCCCCCGTAATCACACTGTGTCCTGATAATTTTTTTTTGTCTTTCACACTTAGCCATTGTCCCTTCTAACTAATGAGTTGGAATCAAGAGGCTCCACTAAAGGTCATGACCTTAACAGGCTGCAAACCTGGGCTTCCCCGGACTTGAGCCAACAAGGTGTAGCTTGGCCATCAGGAACCTCTCAGAAAAGAATGACGTCGGCATAGGGGCAGCCAGAGCAGAAAACTGAGGAGGCTCCCCGGCGGTCTGACAACATCTCCCTGATAAACAGGAGAGCGTCAGGAAACTGAGTCTGATAATGCCAGGACTTAGGAGGCTGAGACAGGAGGATTGCCAATGTGAGACCAGTCTGGTTTACACCGGGAGACCCTGTCTCCACAAAATGAAAAGGGTGGTCAGCTGTGTGTTCCCTGGGATTCGGGTCCCTGACCCTTACGGTGTCTAGATGGCAGGATAGCCGGGTGTCACGCAATGGTTGCTGGGGGAGACGGTGGGGGAAAGGTCCCAGGAAATTGCTAGAGTCAGATGGGAGGAGTCTGGAGAGGGTTTCTAGAGGAAGTATAAACTAGAACTCTTAGGAAGGACCTTTACCTTACTCTGAACATTTGCCCTTAGTGACTCAGCCCTCTGAACAGTCACACCCTGTGCAGTGTCCAAGGTGCAGAGAGAGGCAGTTGTGGGAACAACTGGCCTGAGAGAGAAATGCAGTTGCTGGGAGGGGTGGTGTACCTGAGCATCCTGGGCGTGGCTTTGGAGGGGACTGCACCGAGGGCGGGAGGATGGAGCCACGGATTAAGAGCTATTCCCAAGTACAGGCAGGGAATGGCGATTGGTGTGTTGGGTGTGGGGGATAACGGGGGCTGGGGGTAAGGGAGCTCTAGACAGACCTCTCTTTCTTTCCCCCTGGAACTCCTCCCCTGCCCCAGGACTTAGAGAGTTTGTATGTCCTTCCGTTGTTCCAGGTGTGTGGACCAGAGGTTCCGGCGCTGTCCCCCGCTGCCCACCACCAGCGTGATCATTGTGTTCCACAACGAAGCCTGGTCCACTCTGCTGCGCACAGTCTACAGCGTCCTGCACACCAGCCCTGCCATCTTGCTGAAGGAGATCATCCTGGTGGATGACGCCAGCACAGAGGGTGAGGCTGGCGTGTCTGCATAGGGGCGGAGTCCAGGGGCCCTCTGAGGAGGCCAGGCGGGAGCAGGGCACACGGGCCACATTCCTAGAGCCTAGAACTCGTCCGCACCACACGTGGCAACCTGGGCCTCCGAGGTTCCCTGTTTGCTGTCGCGGGCAACCCTAACTCAGGAGTTAAAAGGAAATGGCCAGCGAGCAGCTCGGCAAGTTAGTGCACTTGGCTGCCAAGCCTGGTGACCTAAATCTGAACCCTGAGACCCACGCACTACCAACCAACTCTACCTGAGTGTTGAGATTTGAGTGTGTGTGTACAGGCGCGTGCAAATACAAACACTAAATAAATAAAGGAGGAAGAGGGGAAGGGAGGGAAAGACGGGGCCTGCTGGGCAGGGCAGGGCAGGTGGCTGGAGGGCCCTCCTGGTCTCCCTCTGATTCTGAAGGCTCCCCCCTCAGAAGCCCCTTCTGTCCTAAATGTTAATAGGGGAGACTGCTCAAGTTTTCGACCTCCCGCCAGTTCCAGAGTGATTGACTTGACCTAGGCACCAGTTAGAGGGGAAAATGGTTCCCTGAGAAGGCTCATGAACCATTCAGAGCTCATGGGCATAGGGCCTGAGCGCTCCTTCAGCAGACAGTGAAATGCCATGAAATGACGGGGACTTGAAAGTCCAACCTTGAGGATTGACTGCACTGGGCCGCTCTGAGTTCCAGCTTCCCTTTTCTACAAAAGGGCTTGACTCCTGCCTATGGGAGGTGAGGGTGTGAGACAGGTGATGAATATGATTTGTGGGCTGCAGGGGATGGAATGGCGTCGCAGGAGAGCCCCCTGTGAGTTTGTTTTCCTCGCCGTGTGGGAGTGTGTAGCCCTGAGATGTTCTGCCTGGTGTGACTGTGACTGGCTGACGATGGAGGCTGTGCTGGAGCTGGGCCTGGAAGGATTGTTAATCCCAAAACCACTACCACAGTTTCAAGCCAAATCTGAAGCAAGCTTTATTTAAATACCGGCCAGGTGGATGGGCTGTGGCTAGATTCCTAAGAAATGGCCCAGAATCACAGTTTGTGGTGGTGTAAGAAGGAAATCCCACAATTCATTGCATTTCCCATCAGGTCCAATCAGAGGCAAACATATATCCTGAAGTACCTCCATCCTGTGAACCTCCTGCCCATCTGTGGTCAAACACATCCATGCAGATGGGTCAAACAAAAACATGTGTCTTGCTGCCTCCCATAGACAACAGTTCCCAGCATTGCAGGAGCTGTCTGTCCTGGGGCAAAGGGCTCACAGGTCAGAGGCGTTTTTGTTTCATGGATCTCTGAGGCACAGTAAATAGAACTTGAAGTGTAACTTTGGCTCTCACAGAATACGTGTCTGAGGAAGGAGCAGCAGGTGGTGGGCGTTCCTGGGAGAGAGAGTAGCCCAAGCAGAGCTCTAGAGACAGGAGTCTGTTAAGGAGACTGAGGGTGGCTGCAGTTTAGGTTTGCCACGGATCTGAGAGTAACAGGATGTGGAGGTTTGCGCCTTGTTGGGATGCTGTGTTCAAACCAAGGACTCTGTAAGCAGGTTCTCTCTATCGAAGTCGTAGTTTCTTGGCCCATCGCTGTGACCAAATACCTAACAAGGGGCTGGAAAGACGGCTCAGCTGTTTGGGAGCACTGGCAGCTCTTTCAGAGGACACAGGTTTGGTTCCCAGGTTAAAGTGGTGGGGAAGTCACAACAGCAGGCGCCTAAGGCAGCCGGGCACACTGCATCCACAGCCAGTGACAGTCTGTGCTCAGCTCGTCTTCTCCTTGTCCTGCAGTCCCGAATGCCAGCGAATGATGGCACCACAGCAGGCCACTCTTCCTGCCTCTCTTAACCGGATCAAGAGGTCTGGAGGGTCATCATTCGGTGATCCCAGAGCCTGTGAAGTTGACAGAATGAGCAATCACACATGTTGAAGTGGCATTCATGCCCGGGCTCAATATATGTATTTAAAAAGAGACGAGGCATCACTGTGGACCCGTGCTCATGCCCCATGCTACAGCCAGAGCCCCCCTGTCTCTCCCAGCTGCTCTAGTCCTGGGTTAGGGAGGATCCTTCAAGAATATGAGGGCAGAGGGAGAGGCAGCTGGGCATAAGTACTACTAAAACCTCTTGTCTAGGGAGCTCTCTCTTTTCCAGGGAAGACTGGCACTTGGCCACACAAGTATCGAGGTAGCAGAAGGGAGGTCTGGTGGGCAAGTGCCTGGCATGTTAGGTATCTAGGAAAATCAAAACAAGTTAAAGGCTCCATGAGGGGAGAATCAGGGCACAGCGACAATCAGACCGAAGCAAATCCAAGTCTAGAAGTGTAAACAGCTCAGTGTCTGCCTGACCTCTGGAACTCACGGTCTCTGGCTCCAAAAGGCCCCATTTCTCTAGCTCACGTTCACAGCACACGTAGCTCCTTTGTGGGCTCAGGCTAGCTCCAGCCCACAGCTGCTGCTGTCCTCCGTGGCTGTCGTATGGTTCTGCAATTCCAAAATGCTGGGGTCTGTGCACAACCGGGCTGTGCCTTCATCAGTAGCCTTTCTCAGGTTCTCTTCTGGGACCCTGACCAGTCTAAGCCTCTGCTGTTCTCTGTGACCCCTTCAATCCTGGGGTTTCTTCTGAAACCGTGGCTGCACCTGTACCGGTGATGTCCCCTGGCCTCTTTCAGCGTCGAGCCTCAGTTCTTCCCCATGACCCCGTTATGTCTTTAAAACCAGTACTCTGTGTGACTCTTCCACATGACCAAGTTCAGCTGGCTGCCAGTGCAGAGGTCCTGCCTCGGTCTTCTCTGGCCCACAGCTTCCCAGAAGAGTTCACTTCCTGGTCCCGGCCTCTTGCTAATCATAGCCGAGTCTTTGGCTCTAGCTGACTAGAACCACAGATTCTTAATTCAAAATATCTCATGGCCCTAATATAATCTTTAAAGGACTTCCCTCTGAAACTTTGCAAGACAGTCTTCTATCCTCTGCTCTGCTCTGAGCGTTGTCTTCTGAGCTCCCATACCAGTTTCGTAAGCTCTCAGCACTGGATGACTTTTCTAGCCAAGGTCCCAGCATCCTTCCACAATCCTCCCAAAAAGCATGGTCAGACATCACAGCAACACCCCACTCCTGACTCCAGTTTCTGTCTTAGTTAGGTTTTCTATTGCTAAGAAGTGTCTGGGAAAGGAGAGGGTTTATTTCACATTGCAGTTGTTGCCCAGCGTGAAGGGAAGTCAGGACAAAAACTCAAGGCAGGAACCTAGAGGAAGGAGTTGAAGCCGAGGCCATACAGGAACACTCATACAGCTTACTCAGCCTGCTTATATAACCCAGGATCTCCTGACCAGGGATGGCACCACCCGCAGCGGTCTAGGCCTGCCCACATCGACCACTAATTAAGAAAGTGTCCCATCGGCTTTGAAGCTCAGGCTGATCTTTTGGAGGTGTTTTCTCAATTGTTGATCCCTCTAGCTTGTGTCAAGTTGACAAAAAAGAAAAGAAAGAAAAAGAGCAATCAGGACAGTACCCTTCATAGCAGCCAGCAGACCTGTGTTCCAAATACATTCCTAGTTAAACTACATTATTATGTGTGTCTGTGTGGGTATACTCGTGTGAGTGCAGGTGCCCTAGGAAGCTAGGGGTCCTCGGAGATGGAGTTACAGGTGGCTCTGAGCAACCTGATGCTGAGCTGGGATCCGAACTCAGGTCCTCCAGAAGAGCAGGCGTCTCTCCAGACCCCATTCCTGTGTTTGCCAGGGGCTGCCCCCGGCAGGGGACAGGTCCCTCAGAGGATGTAAAGAGTAGGTGAGAGACAGAGAGAATCAGTCCCTGGTGATGTGGAGAATCTTGCAGCCTGAGTGACTGGAAGCCAGGGCGCTTCTTTATACAGAATTTAGTAAGCAGGGATACATCCATGTTGCTCCAAAGCATAGATCATATCATTCTGGCTTTGGACATGTGTTTCACCTCCTCTTGCTCATTTTTTTTAGTCATCAATAAACTATGACAGAACAGAGTTATCATTTCCAATCATTTCCTCTCAAGTTTTGTTATCATTGATAAGCAGTTTTCATTTTTAATTATTATTACTCATTAATCCCATAACCCAATTTTTAAGAATCTAGAGGCATATGACAGCTCGCTCTCGGGCTGATAGCTTTTGTGGCTACAAGGGTACTAGGCCAAAACAAAATCTTCCAGCCATCCCAGGCCTGCTGCCGTGTTCAAGCTTGTATTATTAACTCCTAATGGTCAGAGTGCCCAAGAAAAATCCTCAGGCAGAAGCTGCTGCAGCACTTCAGACTCTGGCATACTACAATGCTCACATTTATATCTTTACGAAGTTTGTTTGCAAATCTAATCCTGGCATTCTATTGTCCCTGGGTCATATGACACCACAGTGGCTCTGCATGTGCCAGCTTTTCCAGGAAAGGGGGGTCCTGACATCTCATTCTTCCTACACCGTTCTTATCCATCAACATAAGACTCCTTGGAGGGCAGAGGTCACTTCAGCTCATCTAACTTTGGTGCTGTGTATCCCACGTGATTGCCTGGGTATATAGTGGGAAGAGGCTTGCAGGCTCATCTGTGGCCAACTCTTCCAGCCCACTGAATTTTGTTGACCTTTTTGAGTTTACTTTGTTTTGAATATCTTGTTCCTGCATAAGTACAGGGACAGATGTTTAAAGAATGTCTCAGAGCCTCATAAAGAGACCTCTGGCGTCTTTATGTGTGCCACAGCCTCCAAGGCATGAGGAAGATCTTCAAGTAGATAAGGATATCTCCCTAAAAGTGGGCAGGGTAGTATCTTCAGGATTATCCTGGGAAGTTTAGAAGCAGTACTCCTGGGAGAAGGCATAAATGATTCCTAAGGAATTTCCCATCCATCTAGCATCCCCAAATTGTACAAATATTAAAAGTCCCCCAAGTATGCAAGAGGTGGAGATGAACACCGAAGGTGGCACGGCCGGCGGCCGTCCTGCGGCTCGGCTTTGCTGGGCCTTTGTCCAGCAG